GTTAAGCAACAATAATCTTAATAACTTCGTCATACAGTTCTGGTCCCAAAAAATTACTATTAATCTATCAGAAACCACAGCCTATGTTTTAACCATAATCCAACAGATTTAATTTATACACTTTCTGTTTACTTTTAAGAGGCTCATTCTTTAGTCCTAACAGATAGTACTTCACATATTGAGTCTTTATTATTTTCTCCTTGTCTTCTTTCAGGAGCAACTTCAATACATTTTCTTTATCTTTTAGTAGTTTAAGATCTTCTTTTTGTAGATCCAAAATAGTGTTACCATTAGACTGATCCAAGTTCTGTTTACTTTTAGAGAGTTCATCCTTTAAACCTAGCAAACAGTGCCCCACAAGTTGAATCTTTATTATTTTCTCCTTGTCGTCTTTCTGGAACCATTTCAATAAGTTCTCTTTGTCTCCCAGTGATTTAAAACATTCTTTTTGTAAATCCAAAACAATATCATCATTAAGCTGATCCAAAGTAACTGTAAGTCCAGAATAAGATTCTTTTTCTTTAAGATTCAGTAAGATATTCATCTCTCTTTCTTCTTCCACATCTTTATTATCCATATTATTCTCCAAAATATCCAACTTGTGTTCAACTTGCCTCACATCAATAGCAGGCTCATTTAATTTAGCATCAAGCTTCTTGTTCAAATTATCAAATTTATCCTCCAGTGACTGAATTATTTTTTCTACAGTTTTGAAACATAATCTTGAAACACTCATCCCTGCAGTTTGCTCTCTTGATTGCCATGGTCAATAGCACTCTCTAGTGTCAGAAATACAAATTACGTTCTCTCCAAAGTAAATAGTGAAAGGGAGAGTCTCTTTATCTTGTTTAAAATTCTTCTCCAATCAGAGCCAATTAAGCAAGAAAACAAAGCAGAGTTCACGTAGTTCCCATATCCACATTCCAATATCAAGAAACCAAGCTCAGATTCGCCAGAAAAAAAAAATTAAAAGAATTCCTTTTCTCTTGGGCTTTTTATTAATTTTTTTTCTTAATTTTCTCTTAATTTCTCTTAAAAATTAATAAAAAGCCCAAGCCTTTGCCTTTTTTGCTGAATATACAAAACTATTTATCCTAATTAAAAAAAAATGTAAATCTTTCCACAAAGCACCTATAGTAGCCAAAAGGAAAAAATGCACTGTAACTAAAGAAAGGCTCTGTTCAGCCCTATAGAAGTTAAAAACAAAAAACCAAAAAAGTTGATTTTGGAAATGAGGTGGTCAGCACAAGTGTCTTTTTTGGGGGGGGCTTCTTCACAGCTTGGAACTTGCTGGTAACCCCACCTCCCAACTGATCACTCACCAGTCAATCCTGAAAGTCTCCATTTTGAGGTCTTCTGGCTGTGAAAGGCTGTCTGGAGGTTGTATGGGACAATTTCTAGGATTCTCCTTGGATCCAGAGAATTCTTCAGGCTCCAGGAGCCGGCCTGAGCATAAAAAAGTCTGCTAAGACGGCTCTCCACTTGAAAAGGACAGCCTAGCGTGCAGCCATTATTCACCGGAAGTCTGGAAATATCTCAGCCTTTCCAATGCTGTTGCTTCCATCTTTTTACCATACACGGGTTATAGTATCTCTGCTGATTCTCACAATAGGCTTTCACATTTTGTTCTGGCTTTGTACCTTTATTTTGATGTGTTAGTTCCTTTTTCAAGGAAATACTTGTTTATTAGTATCAGACATGCAATTGTGACAGATAGATGTTTCCCAAAGGTACCAGTTGATGCTTCAATCTGTATTCTTCAGCTCTTTTACCTTATTTTCTCCTTTGCTCCCCATACACATAGACAGTTGTAGGATTCGGAGGCAATATAATAGTAGGACACGCATAACCCAATACAGAGGCAGGATACCACCGACATATATTCCAGCTCATGGGAGAAGCTTCTATAACATCCTAGTCCCAATATCCAAGGGATCATCCAGGTCTTCAAAGTATTCCTGATGGCTAACAGAGTCAGGGCAAATTGAATCTTCCTAGGTCCCATCAGATGACATTGTTTTAGGGAAGGGACCTGGAGCATGCCCGTTCTGTTGGAGTGTATGGGACAGGCTGAAACCAGGAGAGACAACTCTAACCCTAACCTTACACTGTGTAGGGCTTTATAAGTGATAATCAGCACCTTTGTGCTGATAATTGTACCTGGGAGCCAGTACAGCACACAAAGTAGAGGTGTTACATGGGCATAGTTGCACCAATGACTACTCACACTGCTACATCCTGGACCATCTGCAGCTGCCCCCATGTTGTGGAAGCTCACCTTGTCTTCTAAGGTATATAATGCCTTCAACCTCCTATCTTTTGGAAAATTACTTAACATAAGACTTGGCTGTTCTGCAGAGCATTTGGGTGCAGATAGTTTGTGGGCTGCCAGTTAATTGCTCCTGGTTTAATGGAATTGTTAATGTTTTTGTTATAGGTTCCATAGAAATGGACAGTCTATCAAATTGTCTAATAACTCTCTCTCCTGCTCAAACAGTGGCTTGCATGAACTGAGCATCAGTGGAGAGTGTTCCTGGCTCTCTTTTGTGAAGAGTGTTGGTTAGAACTTGAGAAGAGGGAAGGGGTGCCTACTCTTTGGTAATATTGCCTTTCTGGATAGTCCAAGCCCTATGAAATAAAAATGAAATGGGTGCCAGTATTTATTTTTGATCTTTTAATTGTCTGAGGGGAGCAGTGTGCTGCTGAGGTTCCACAATCCAGTACAATTCAGTTTCTGTGTCTCTCTCACCCCCCATCCTTTCCTGTTCCAGATCATGGATATACCACCCTAGCCACAAGTGTGACTCTCTTAAAAGCTTCCGAAGTAGAAGAAATCCTGGATGGAAATGATGAGAAGTACAAAGCAGTCTCTATCAGCACTGAACCTCCCACCTACCTTAGGTAACCAGACAGTTTATTTCCCTCTTACTGGGAAAGGAAAAGTCAAATGCATATTCTTGATTCTTTAGTGTAACTATCTTCCTAGCGAATCCTGCTTCGTTGCATATTTGCAGCAATATGCCAGATAATATTTATTGCAGATAATAAAGGTTGTATTTAAATTCTTTCACACAGGAAAGAAGGATACAATATTTTAAAGAATTTGCACTTTTTCCTCTTCAAGGGAACAGAAGGCAAAAAGGAACAGCCAGTGGGTTCCAACCCTTCCAAATAGTTCCCACCATCTTGATGCTGTACCATGCTCAACAACCATTAACAGAAACCGCATGGGCCGAGACAAGAAGAGAACTTTTCCGCTCTGGTGAGTGTAGCATTGTCTGGGGCAAATTGAGAGTTATTAGATGTGGAGTCCTATAAAATATGTGGACTGTGGAGGCCTGAGTGCCCATTTCAGCATCCCAGGAATGCAAAAGAAGTGTAGTTATGCAGAAAAAGAGGCATTGGTACACAAACTATACCAGATAACTCTCATTTTCTCACTGTCTGGTAGTAGTGGCTCCAAATTTAATTGGAGTCCAAATTTTTTGCATTAGCTGGAGACTAAGCTTTTTGAAATACACCAATTATCTCTCTCTAGCTTTCAAACCCATATTAACACACAATAACTCGGATTTTGTATAAATGTTAAAATGTCTTCTTAAAAGATAGTAAGATTTCCTGAATTATTGGTACTGCTTGCAAAGGTTCTGAAAGAATTAAGGCTACATAATCTGCAGAAAAGACTGAAGAGCAGGTGGCAGTGTGATCAAGAGGGCCTTTGTGCAAATCTACTTGGTGCTCCAGTTGCACCCGTTCATAGACTGAGAAGCTCTGCTCATGGTCCCATATGCCTTGGTCACCTCTCATTTGGACTATTGCAATACACTTTACATGGGGCTGTCCTTGAAGACCACTTGGAACTTATAGCTGGTCCAGAATGCAGCAACACACTACAATATAGCCCTGCAACACCACTTCTTCACAAAGTGCACTGGCTCTCAGTAGACTTTGGGTGCAATTTAAGGTGCTGGTTATTAGCTATGAATCCCTGCATGGAGTTGGGCTGGGTTATTTGTGGGATCGTCCATCTCCAATATTTCTGCCTGTCCCACAAGATCTAACAAAACAGACATGCTCCAGGTCCATTCTATTAAGCAATGTCATCTGATGGGACCCAGGAGATCTGCTTGCCCTGTGGAACAGCATACCACCCAAGTTTAGGATGGCCCACTCCTGTTAGCCTTTCATAAGGTGCTGAAAACTTGGTTTTTCTGTTGGTTATTGGGCCAGGGTGCTAGATGAGCCCTCCTTTAGGATTCATTTCCCTCAGATGCACTGTTTTTATAACTGTTGCTTTTGGAAGTTTTTTTTAATTGTTAGTCTTAATCTGATGTTAGCTGCCCAGAGTTCTATTCTGCACATGGGGCAACCATATAAATTGAATAAATAAATCTAACATTTTAAAACACTCCAGCTCATTGGCTTTTTAAAATGCGATATTCTAATTCTTTGTTCTCTAGTTATGTACATGTTTCCCATATCTATCTTATTATTTCTTTAGTTATACAGTGGTGCTTAAAAGTTTATGAACCCTTTTGAATTTTCAATATTTATGCGTAATTATGACCTATGATGTGATCTCTACTCCACACTTCCTAAAACTAGATAAAGAGAACCCAGTTAAACAAATGAGGCAAAAACATACTTGTTCATTTATTGGGGAAAATGATCCAAAGCTACATATTTGTGTGTGGCAAAAGAATGTGAACCTCTAGGATTATCAGTTCATTTGAAGGGGAAATTAGAGTCAGGTATTTCAGTCAATGGGTGATAATCAGGTGTGAGTGTGGGAGGTCCTGCCTTATTTAAAGAACAGAAAGTCTGATCTTCACAATTCAGGGATGTGGAAGTGTGTCATGGCTTGAACAAAAGAGATTTCTGAGGACCTTCAAAAAAAGTTGTTACGCTCACCAGGCTGGAAAAGGTTACAAAACTATTTCCAAAGAGTTTGGACTCCAACAGTCTGCTGTCAGGCAGATCATGTACAAATGGAGGCAATTCAGCATCATTGTTACCCTGCCCAGGAGTGGTTGACCAACCAAGATCACACCAAGAACAAGGATGTAATACTCTGGAAGGTCTCCAGGAACCCCAGGGTAATGTCTAAGGAACTAAAGGTCTCTCTTGCATTGGCGAATGTCAGTATTCATGAGACTACCATCAGGAGAACACTGAAGAACAGTGGTGTGCATGGCAGGGTTGCAAGGAGACAGCGACTGCTCTCCAAAAAGAACACTGCTGCCCATCTGCAGTTTGTGAAAGACCACATGGATAGCCAGAAGGCAATTGGGAGAATGTTCTGTGGATGGATGAGGCCAAAATAGAACTTTTTGGCTTGAATGAAGTGTTTCGTTGGGCAAAAGGCAAACACTGCATTCCAGCATAAGAACTTTACCCCATCTGTGAAACGTGGTGGTGGCAATATCATGGTTTGGGCCATGATCATTGATGAAACTGTGAATCATTGATGGAACAGATCATTGATGGAACTATGAATTCTGTACCAAAATCTCTATACCAGCAGATTTTACAGAAAAATGTCAGGGTATCTGTCTATGAACTAATGCTGAAGAGAAAGTGGGTCAGGCAGTAAGACAAGGACCCAAAACACACAAATCATATGACTAAAGAATGGTTAAAGCAGAAGAAAGTTAATGTTTTGGAATGGCCAAGTCAGTCCCAACCTTAATCCTACAGAAATATTGTGGGAGGACCTGTAGTGGGCAGTTCATGCAAGGAAGCTCACCAACAGCCCTGAGCTGAAGCTGTTCTGTAAGGAGGAATGGGCTAAAATTCCTCCACAGGATGTGCAGGACTGATCAACAGTTATCAGAAACTTTTAGCTGCAGTTATTGCTGCCCAAGGAGGCCACGACAGTTACTGAAAGCAAAGGTTCACCTACCTTTGTCTCACACAAATATGTAGCTTTGGATCATTTTCTTGAATAAATAAATGAACAAGTATAATGTTTTTAACTCATTTGTTTAATTGGGTTCTCTTTATCTGGTTTTAGAACTTGTATGGAGAGCAGATTGTGTTTTAGGTCATATTTATGCAGAAACATTGAAAATTCAAAAGGGTTCACAAACTTTTAAGCATCACTCTATGTACAAATTTAACTGGATTTGGGAACCTTCAAAATATTTTTATTTATTTTATTTTATCAAATTTCTCCCTCGCCCATCTCCCCCCAATGGGGGACTCTGGGCGACTTACAAAAACATTAAAACCATAAATATACATAAAATACTTAATGCATCTAAAATTAAAATTTTCCAGTAATTAAAATTTTCCAGTAATATTAAAAACTTAGAAGTTTTGGGTGCTGCCAATTTGTCAGCCCAAATTGTAAAATCAAAAGAGAACCAAATCCCATTGATCAATGTTAAGCAATTGAAATTCTTTTGTAAAACATCATCTGTTTTAGAAGACCATTAACAATGAATTTATCTGAAGTATTGATGCCATTTTTACCCATGAACTCCAAAATTTTTAATCCAGATTTACTAGCAATTTTCAGATTATGATAATCTCATAATATCAGTTTCTCCTGAGAATCAGGGCTGAGTTAATTCCTTTCCAACACTGTCTCTGTATGTCTTGCAGCTTTTAATGCAGGAAAAACAACTGATATAACTTTGGTAGGAAGCCAAATTTTTTAGGGCTCCAAACTTTCTAACTGTGCCCATATTCATTTTGTAAATAAATTGCTTAAATTCACCTAACCATAGAGATCAAAATGGTAAGTCTTGAAATAGGGAAACTTGAATCCCCTTCCTCATATGAAAGTTCTAATTTAGATAAAGGCTAAGGGGTTTGACCATCCCTAAGGTTTTTTTTCACAGTCAGTTTGAAGTATTTAGCAAGTACTAACACAGAAATACCTCTAAAAATATATATAAATCTTGGAATCACATGCATTCTATCTTTATAAACTTTCAGGGATTTTAAATCATCATATTGATATTGTTATGAGAGAGAGAGAGAGAGAGAGAGAGAGAATTGGAATTATTAATGCTACCAACAAAGAAATCTTCCTAAGGATAAGTACTTCAATATATTTAAATGGGATGAAGCAAAATGTTAGGCCCACACATCCACAGCAACTTTAGAACCAACAGGAAGTATGTTAGTCATTCTAATTAATAGAATAACCTGTTATTACTGACGGGTCATACCCCATCCATAAATGTTGGTTAAAAAAACCCCGATACTTGTCAGTAAGGCACAGAATGTTGTCAGTATATAACAATAATTTATGGTCAGGCTATTTTCATACTCAAAATATTCTTCCCTTGGCCAATGGTTCTGAAGTCAAATAAAAAAAAAGAGTGGACATTTTTAGCAAGCTCCTCATGGCATCGTAACAGAAGAAATAATTCTTTTGTGATAACCCTTTCTAACTGTTTAGAATGTCACATTTTAATCCAGTCAACAGCATTGAAAGCACAAGTGGTTGGCCAATTATTGAAGAAAAATTTACCAGAGTGGACAAGTTTATTCATAGAGTTTAACAGCCTATTTGGTGAGGGTTCTAATATATCTAGTGAAAAATATTCTTAATCATACATGATTAACTGAACTACTACTGTTTTACCTCCAGTGGTTTCACAAATATATAGTGGTTGTGGTCCTAAATAGGTCCTAAGAAAATTAATTTAAAGGGTATTCCAAAGAAGTAACCTCTCCCTTAGAAATGATGAGTGTGCATTAAGGTTACATCAGGCAACCAGCTTCCTTCTACTGCCAGGTTAGAAACTTCTCAGGAGTCATTAAAATAATCTGCCCCTCCTGATTCCTGGTCCCTTTGAATCTGGGTTCCTCCTATTTCCCCGTCCCCTGCCCTGGTATCTTCCTTGCCTAATTCAGTGGCGATGTCCTGCCACTTTTTTCCAGCTTTGATGACCATGACCCAGCAGTGATCCATGAAAACGCCTCACAGCCAGAGGTGCTGGTCCCAATCCGACTGGACATGGAAATCGATGGGCAGAAACTGAGAGATGCTTTTACCTGGAATATGAATGGTTTGTAAAGAAGGGGATGCAAACAATCTAACCACCCTGATCCTAAACATTGGAAACCTTTATGAGCAAATACGGCCTTTCCCCAAAGATACATTTTACCTATTAATTTAAAATAGGTGCACACACTTGAGTTTTTTTGACTGAATAGAAAACACGGCAGTTTTGTAAGGGTTTTTGGTGTTTTCAAGGCAAATCATTATGCTAGAAAAGTTTTTCTTTTCAACAGTGCACAAATGGATACCCTCTGGAAAGACTTTGGAATCAAGCCATTACTGTAAAGTGGCCACATCCAATTCTGTGCACTTGAGAAGAGATTCATGTTAGGGCCCCCAATAAGGCAACTATGCAGCATGTGCTTGAACTCACCACACCTAGATAGCATCTTTTTAGACTCCTGTATATTAATATAAAATTTGATTTTTGTTAGCGTCAAAAACAAAAGGCAATTTCATAGAACCGTGTTTTGAAAGTATGTTTGCCAATATATTGTGTATACTGTATTTTAAGCCATTCTAGAACTGATTAAAACAGTTTTTCTTGTAGCCTGACAAAAGTGTTTTAGAATACTGGAGTTCAGAGGCAAGTATTGTTGTAGAGTTTACCTAATAACATGGACTTTTTGTCTCCATCAGAAAAACTGATGACTCCAGAAATGTTTTCAGAGATTCTCTGTGATGACTTGGATTTGAATCCCCTCACTTTTGTTCCTGCTATTGCATCCGCAATACGACAGCAAATTGAGTCTTACCCTACAGACAGCATCCTGGAGGACCAGTCGGATCAACGTGTCATCATTAAGGCAAGGAAAGGGGAATGGAGTTGAGAAGGTCCTGCAAGGCTCTCTTTAGTGTGCATCACATTGTTTATCCCTTCCTTTGGGATAAACAATGTGATGCTGAGCACAGAAAAAGCAAAGGAAAGGACAGTCAGGAGATAAGAGGAAAGGAAATCCAACAGATTTATTCTGCATCCACACCATTTGTTACATCTCTCTATAATTTTCTGTCTTTGAAAATCATTCTTGCTTCCACCATATTCATACACCAATTCTTCTCACTTCTCTCTTTTTGAGGGTCTCATCAGCTTTGTACAAATGCAACTGTCTCTGTCTTCCCATTTCTCTCAACTATTTAGTCATTTGTTGTATACTTGTTTTGTGTTCCACTCCTCATTTGTTTTCTCTGTATGATGAAACCACCACTTTCCCATCTTTCAGCATGCTACAGACCACATACTACTCTACTAACTACCCTACTACTAACATACTACTCTACTAAGTGCTACTAACATTGTCACGTCTACTAACTTCTTCCATTGATCTCAGCATATTTCTTTCTGCATTCGCATTCATTCATCATCACTTGTTAGATCTTACCTACTCTGTTATTCTGTTTTGCTTTGAAGAGTACCACACTCTTAAGAAGCCTGTTCCCTATTTTTATGCTTCTCCTGACACACCCAGCCCTCACTTATATATAACAAAGTGGGCAGAAGCACACTTTTATAAACAGCCACTTTCCCATCTTCCAGCATGCTACAAACCACATACTACTCCACTACAGTGCTACTAACATTGTCACATCTACTAACTTCTTCCATTGATTTTCCCATCTTTCTTTGGAGGTATAGGGAAACATCTATTTGCCCTAACTCTTCCTGTTTATGTATAAATTGTCCATTTCCAAGTGTCTTCCATTATACCATAGTCTTTAATACATCAATTACTTGGTCTTCAGTACATTAATTTTCAGGCCTATACTTGTTGAATCGTACTCTTTTGAGTTCTTAGCCAACAACACAGCATCATCTGTAAAAAAAAAAATTCACTTTCCCAAAAATAGACCTATAACATCACCACAAGCATTCCTTATCCATTTGTCCATAAATATGACCAAGGGGACATCACACACCTTGTCTAAACTCTCTGCTAAATCTTGAGTCATTCGCTAAACTAAAATAAATTCCATTTATTTTCATCTTTGCTTTGTTTTCATTGTCTACATCTCTTACTGCATTTAGGAACCAGCCTTTTGCTCCATATTCACATAAAATGTTTCAAAATTCAAGCCTATTCACTTTATGATACACTTTATATAAGTCAACAGATGTGCAATAAACCTTTCTTTCTCATGTTCGTACATTTCTCAGTGACTTACTGAAGAGCAAAAATCAACTCTGCCTACCTGCCTAAAGCTGCAGTGCACTTCCCAAGTTTGGCTCATTATCACCCTTCACCCAGAATTCTGCCAGGCACCTTCTCAGGCACACCTAACAACCTAATCCCCCTGTAGGTGTTGCATTCACTGCTGTTACCCTTTCCTTTTGTATAAGGGAATAACAAGGGCAGTTCTTTAATAGGTAAGGACACTTGCAGCCTTTAAAGGACACAAGAAACCTCCAAGAAAGTGAATGCAGGTTCAAAGAAAAGTTCATTTATTGAAAAGTAGTGTACAGCTCTAGAGCATTGCTGGAACTGAGTCCTGTGCATGCCAAAACTTAGTTTTACCTCACCCCCATTTCACCCCCCCCCCTTCAGTCTTGGAATCTCTCTTGCACATGTCGAAGATGACCTCAAGTTCTCACATTGGTATGGCCTTGGGCATTCCCGGGAGCGAGATAACAGCTCATCTGTGCCTAATGATTCACATTCCCATTCTTCCCCCCCTTCATTCTTCCCCCCCTTCCCCCACTTCTCCCTCTCTCTGTAATGGCAGAAAGAAGGAAGCAAACTAGCAGTACAAGTGATTGATTGCAAGGGTTCTGACAGACTAATTATAAATGACTAAATGGCTAAAAGACTTTAGATTGAGTTTTCTTTTGATTGTAATTGTAAGCTATCCTGAAAGATGGGGATACATTAGAAGGGTGGAATGTGCATTTTATAGGAATAAGTAAGATACAGAAAGAGGGTTCTGATGGGACATAGAACAAGAGTCAGTACCTTGCATTACACATCTGGATATCTTTGCACTGTTCTGTTTCATTGCTGGAGACCTTCTTTACTTCCCATCCCTGATATGTCCTGAAACAGGTAGGGCATGGAATTTGGTGATCTCCAAAGGAAGTCCCAGCAGGTATATCAGCACCTGTGGAATTTGTGTTGGGGTTCAGGCTATAGCATTCTAAATTGATTTCTTTGGTCTTCAGTATTCTGTAGGAGATGGATGGTTAGATTTAAGTTGCTTGGCATATAAAAAATGAAGAACTCACCTGTGTTTTGTGCTTCTAGCTCAACATTCATGTGGGGAACATCTCCTTGGTGGACCAATTTGAGTGGGATATGTCTGAGAAGGAGAATTCCCCTGAGAAGTTTGCCCTGAAGCTGTGCTCAGAGCTTGGACTGGGTGGTGAGTTCGTCACCACTATCGCTTACAGCATCCGGGGGCAGCTGAGCTGGCATCAGAAGACATATGCATTCAGGTATTTATGCTTTGATCCTGTCCCCAAATGAGGGGATTTGAGGGATGGCCAATTTGTGGACCACCAGGTATTGCTGAATATTTCCTTTGGCTGTGCTGCTCAGGACTGTTGGGAATAGAAGTTCTGAGAGCCACAGCTTTCCCACTCCTACCACGTGGAGTTCAGCTGTTCTGACTGCAAGATGCTGTAATGCAGCACCTCTGCTTCCTTGCACCTGGGAGTCCAAGTGTCTTCCACAATCTGAAGCCAACTTGTCTGCTTAACTTCAGATCCAATTCTGCTGGATGTGGCAGTCCATATAGGATGTGAGTGAGAATAAAAGGATGTGACCCTGTACTCCAAGGTTTGGAGCTCAGGATTTTGTTAGCTCTGATTATTCTCTCTCATGTCACCCTGGCCTGTTAGTGAGAACCCCCTGCCAACAGTTGAGATCGCCATTCGTAACACTGGGGATGCTGACCAGTGGTGCCCTCTACTTGAAACCCTCACTGATGCAGAGATGGAGAAGAAGATCCGAGACCAAGACCGAAACACAAGGTACTGCTGCCTGTCCTCCTAGATTTTCCCCCCTGCACGCTGTCAAATACAAATGAAAAATTTTCCAAGTTCCCATTTGTTTCACAGATTTCAAAATTGCTCACTAGGAGAGTGAGGAGCCATTTTCCTTGCTCCCAAGTTTTTCTATGCAAGCAGACTTTCCTGAAGCAGAACTCCAGGCTTCAGAGACATGTATTTTGAACAATCCATGCAGCTCTTGCCTCTTGCACCCTTTTGGTGCCTTTATGGCACATCTCATTAGCATCAGTTCTGAAGCCAACTGTCCAGAGGGATTGAAATTTAGGGCCATGTTCATTTCTTTTATTAGTATGATAAACGAAGCATACTGATAAAAAAAGAATCATACCTATTAAAACTTTTACAGGGGCTGCAGATGTGCAGCATATGTGCATCAGATGCAGGTTTTTGAGTATTGTACACACACCTTCCCATTCAAGGCTGTTTACAACAGGAAAGTGCTTTTTCCACTGCTGATTGTTTGACTTGTCATTGGAAGTTAGACCTGGCCTCCGTCCTTAGACAGCAGTTTGGTCCCAGTGGACTTTCTCCACAGTGTATTGCATAGCCACAATGTTTCTTGTGTCCCCTTAACTCAGGGTTCCCCAAAGTGGTCAGTATCAACCCCTAAGGGCTGATGGGGCTATCCATTATTGCAGTGGTGGTGGTGGTGGTGATTTGTAGAACTATTAGTTAAAGTAGTATTTCTTAAATTATTTTCATATAATGAATGTTTGGAGGTCGATGAACCATCTGAAACTTCAGCTGTCTTAACCCTTCTTCTGACCATCAGAACTAGTCAGAGCAGCCAATTCTGCCACTGCGGTTTGCAGGGAGGTTTCCTTAAGAATGTTCTTTAGGTGGATTGTGCTGAATTTCATGCACTGAAACTGGAACGATGGTCAACTCTCCATACGCAGGAGCTTGTTCCGGCCTGTTTCCCAGTTTAAGCTGAAACTGTGCCAAGAATCTGCACTCCTGATGATGACTGTTTGTTGCCTTCCCTGCAGGCGCATGAGGCGTTTAGCCAACACAGCTCCAGCCTGGTAACCTGTGGAGAGGACCTTCCGCCATCAGACCGTCTCCCCGAAGTGGGGACTGACCTCCTACTGTGGGCCCTTGGGGCCTGCGGCAATCCCTGGACTGGCTTGGGAAGCCAGGGGTCCCTTCTGGGGGTCCAGTAAAGACACATTGTGGCAGCTGTCCAACCCTTCTTTCCCCCTGCCCAAGCAACTTTTTAAATAAATGAATAAATAAATCTTTTGATTTCCATCAAGATACTTGGTATGTACTTCCAGCTTCCTTTTCTTTGCCCTCAAAAGTATACTAATTACTTTTTCTCTTTTCTCTATCCATGTGCATAGCAGTTGGGATCTCTTTTTCACTGCGCTATTTGGGGAAGGGAGGAAGTCACTGGCTGGGTTTACACATTATTCTAAGCCATAATGTGGTACGTTTGGTTTTGGTGTAGTTTGTTGTATGATCCCAGGCTATTTCTTTAGTAAACTGTGGTTAAGCAACCCATTCCTCACTATGATCTAGGAACCCAGTTGATGGCTTGTTTCAGAGGTATGTGTCTTGCGCTGCTGCCTCCCCATATGAAAGTCACTCCGAAGGGCTTAAGTTAACAAAGTGAGCTTGGTGATGTTTCTGTTTTAGTTGAACATGAGTCTCTTTTAAGCAACAGCTGGTTGATCTGGTTTGGAATTTAGCCCAGTTCTGCAATTGCCATAGACTGCTCCAGATTATATTCTACTAAAAATTTCCAGCTTGACATAGCAGATATTGAAATACTTTGCTGGAAATTATAAAGGTTATGCTTTTTGCCCATGTAATATAGAAGCTGAGTAGTTGTGAGCTCCCTCAAAGGTTAAAAGGGATCAGGTGAGAGTGCACTAGGAAGCCCCAGGACCCGAGGCTAAAATATGTACGTTCAAAAAACATTTGGTTTGAAGGCAGGAACAAGCCACTTCCATACTGCTGTCACAAAAACTACATATCTGTGTCTGTAGTAGGAGTCAAGTCTGACTTGAGGGAATCTTTACCCCCCTCTCTCTCTCATAAAAAATGAGCACAGTGGAATCTCACTTATTCTTGATTCTGTATAAATGAGAGAGACTCCCTCTGTCCTCCCCCCCCCCCCCACACCACCCTCCTCCCCCCT